ACGTCGTATTTCATATAGGCAGGTTTTTCGAAATAATCTGCCAGTGCGTCAACGATTTCGACTGCAGCATTGGACGTTATAGCCTGCTCAAATATCGGGACGAAGTACTTCTGAGGAATCCATGGTATTCTTTTCTCCTGCTCCTCCACCTGGTGTAAGTTATCAGGATGCATGCAAGATGGGAGACCGAGGATTATATAGTTATCCAGGATCTCGAGGATGGTAGCTCCGAGTGAGAAGTTATTACGCTGATACTGGGCCTTGATATCGGAAGCTGGCAGTTCAAAACGTTCCGATATGAAGCCGATGTTCTCTGCAACTTACATTAGAACGGAAAGGAAATTTTCGGTTGGTCAAGACCAGCGACTCCGAACCAGCTTTGGACAGCTTACCATTATCAACAGCTTCATTATGGATAGGCTCTTCTGGGGTAATAGGTGTGTCCGGACTTCTCGAAGCTACTACTTTTGGAACGCCTTTCGTGTTCTTTCGCCCTTTCCTTTTCCCCTTTCCCTTCCCCTTGCCTTTGGGCGCATCATCGTCCGATACATAAAAGGCTTCGATACCTTTGGGCCGCTGACCTGTTTCCTCCAGCCATTGTAGGTTGAGCAGCTCGTCCATGGCAAGATCTGCATCACCGTTGACCTTTTGTAAGACGAGCTTGATATCGACTGGATTGAGCGAAATGAACATGGAAGCAAACTCCCGCTCCTTATTTTCGGCACTGAGATCATCCAGGATACTGACATGTAAGATACTCGGATTCTCGTGGACCGACGTCTTAGAAGATGAGCCGGATTGGACACTCCGAGACCAAGAACTCTCGGTGGTAGTCGTCAACCCATCATTACTTTTGAGATCGCCCTCGATTGCGCCAACGGCTTCAGAATCGGCATCGTTGGCAGGAGACATGGCAGCCAAGTCATCGCCGCCAAATCCACTGGGGTTGAAGCCAGTAGCTTCTTCCGCCTCTACATCCTTGGAAATGGCAAGCAGAACGTCTCGAGCAGCGGTAAATCCTGCGGGTGTCTGTAGATCATAATCGCTAGCAATGGATAAAATCGTAGCTTCGTCCAAGAATGAGGACAGCTCATCCTAAGGTACCGTTTGTTCAGTACTGCTTGTCTATCATGCATGGGGCTAAAAGCGTGGTGGGGATGGCCACAAAAGCTGAATGAAATTCGATGGCCGTGACGATAAACCCGTAAAAATGAGTGAGTTCACTTACCACGAGTTGTTTTATAGGGTCTCCCATAGTAATGTAGAATGCCGACGGGCAGACACCAGAATAATTAATGGCCGTTAATGAAAAGAGAAAGGAGGCGGTGGGACCGCATACAATTGATGAAGAGGTGTGATCGATGATGAGCACAAACACGGATGCATGATAAATCCTTGAGTAAACCCGGGACAAAATCTCACCCCAGATCAGGTCGGACTTGTCGATATATGCACATAGAATCGAAGACCGTCCAAGGAATGTTATAGATTCATGGCAAACGAAAATTGGAGAGGGAGGGGTGGCATGGAAGTTGGAAGATGAAGGATCAGGAGTGAATGTGTAGGCCTGAGACTCTAACAACGGTTGGTCACATCGGACGGGTCACTTGGTGGTGTTGAGCTATGCAGATATAGAGTACACGCTAGTTTCCTTTACGGATAACTCGTTGGGTGCGATTGTACTTAAGATCAATAGTAAGTTGCGAAGTATTGGGCCCCTTACATTCAACAGCGCGTGTAATTACTTAAACATCTCTTTATCTAGATACCTTACCTAGATATGTAGAATATGTACCTAACCTACCTAGCAAGTCATAGGTTCACCACCAACAATCACAAATACCTATTGATGTAGGTTTGAGAATGAAACATCTTTTGTTTCCGTGTGTACAAACTTGGTTTCCAAAGCGCGGTTATCCTCTCACTATTGGCCCATCTCCATATGATTCTCTATACCTGCTCTATACCTAATATATATACACTGAGAGACGACCTGAGCACCATACGTGTACATTGGGTAGGTATACAAAATAAAAGAAAACGCAAGTAGGTAGCCGACCTGCCGACAACAAGATTGCTCGCTTAACCAGCCCCTGTCGATATGTTTGACTAACTTAGGTAGATGGCCGAGAAATCCCGCGGCCTGATCATGAGGGGAAGGATGTCGTGGGGGTCCTTTGTGTTTTTCTTTTTTTTTTTTTTTTTTTTCCATCCCCCAGGCTGCTATCTAGAACTCACAACTCGCCCCGATATCGCAAACGTCAAACAGACCGGTCTCGGGTAATCCTTTCTTTTTCAAAGCCTCCTTCAGCAACTTTGGGGGTTCCAAGGGCTCCTCGGTCGTCAGCACCCAGGTCCCCCAGTGTATGCCCATCGCCCTCTTGCATTTGGTGTCAAGGAAGATCTCAACCGAGTCAAACGGATTCGCGTGCATGTGCGAGAACATGTGACGAGGTCGGTAGGCGCCGATCGGAATGAGTCCCAGGTCGATCGATTCGAGGTATTCCCCGATCTCGCGGAATTGCGGACATACGGGCAAGTGCTGCCACTCGGGGCCCCAGTCGTCAATTGCATCGCTGATTTTGGGTACCGAGCGGTAGCCTGTGTCGCCGCCGAACCAGACGGTCTTGCCAGGCGTCCCTGATCTGATGGCCCATGAGGCCCAGAGCGTGCAGTCTCGGTCGAAGCCAGTCCGGCCGGATGAGTGCTGGCTGGGTAGACATGTAATCGTAGCCTGGATAGGCGCGGCGGGTGTGTCGGTCGCCTCTGAGGTAGAGCCGGGCGTGAATGAGACCTCGGCCTCGTCCCACCAATCCATCTCCGTTACATTTTTAATACCGCAAGACTTGAACCACTTCTCTAGGCCAAGCCCAACGAAGAAATGTGCATTGGGGTGGTGCTTGGTGACCTCCAGCACGGAGGGATGGGAAAGGTGATCGTAGTGGGAATGGCTAATGACAACCGCATCTACGTACGGAATATCGGCAATGTCACATGGCCGCTCCGTGTATCTCTTGAACCTGGACAGGCTCACTGGTGCGCAGCAGTCCTCGAAGACGGGATCAAAGAGCACGCGCAGACCCGATGGATACTCGACGTAGTAGCACGCATGTCCCAACCATGTGGCGCGAAGCCGAGACGACGCCGTGCGCGAGGGGAGAAATTGCGGCTTCACCACGCGCACAAGCTTGTCCTCCAACTTGGGCTTTGGCGATTTCGAACCAAAGAATCCTTCTTTGCTTTTTCAAGGAGTTAGTGGAAAGCTAATTTCTCTTTTCGAGAGCGGCAATAATGTGATCACGAAGTTTCTCCTACGTACATTAAAGATGGGAAAAAGACGGTCAGCGGCGGGAACACGTGTGATGGATAAGGGTTTTGGAACTTGATCGTCTCCCCGCGTGAGTTTTTGATATGATGGGATTTGGGATTTTCCTCCGATGGCTTCGCTGAGGGCGACCGCATTGCCACCTTGCACGTGTAACTCGCCATCGCCACCGCCGTCGCCGTCGCTGTCGTGTTATATGTCCTACTGGTGATTCCTGTTGGCGCGAGTTTGTTGAAGCATCCACCTAGCGACAGTGGCAAGTGGGATGTTGCTTGCAAGGGGTGACGTATTAACCACATTGGAGTCTGCCAGCTGTGGCTCACAAAGCGAAGAGGACAGAAAGCAATTGGCAGGCCCTGAATGATTTACAAAGAGATTTTCCCACGAGGTCGTATCTAGTACCTGCAAGGAACGTAACATACCTAACCTTAGACAGATACCAATCATCGATTAACGCAATCAGCTCTAATTGTGGAAAAGAAAAGCTTACTACCTCTACTTATGTACCTTTCTATCTAGCACAAAAACGTTAACTCCGTCTAACATCTCAACTCCATCTACCTTCCATCTACACTAATCGGCGCCATGCGACCTAACCTAACATCAGACTTTGCCAGATTTGCGCAGGTCCCAATCCTAAGTACATACGGACTACAGATTACATAGGTAGGTATCTACCTAGTATTTGCACTTGCTCCCGCCTCGATGCCTACTTAGATAGTGTACTATGTATGTAGATACTTATTACCTATCGTTGACCAGCCCGTAGTGGGACCGCTCGGCCCATATTGTAGGTAGGCAGGTATAACTAAGCGGCTCTCTTGGTGATCCCTAACACAATCGCTTTCATATCTCTGAAATGGAAGTAAATCTTTCCAAGGCCCAGGAATATCGCCTGTGCCGGGACCCTGCCGGACCTTATGCTGCCAAATCGACCTCTCGATGCGCATCCCGGGTTCCTCTTAAGTCCGACCTACTCTTGCCATCGTGATGTTTACTACAGTATACTTCCCTATCTAGACAATCATACGACATAACATGGTGTGTATGCTGCCTAAAGTGAGCTCGTGTCGGCCAATGCTCAGCCATCTTTTCATATACTTATTCGAGTAAGGGCTGACGTCTCTATCAGTTTGTCCGAGGTGCGCTGACCGAACAAGTCCGACAGGCCGAAAGATTGGGCCAACGTGTCGCTTGCTATAATCACACTTATACTTCAGTCAGTCGATGCATTGATATACCAATCCGTAACTGTAGAAGGACACGTGGTACTTTGGTTGCTTTCGAAAGGTCAAGCGTCGCCAAAGTAGCTGAAAACAGGTATAAGCTGACTGTTGCTTAATTTGTAGGTAGTCATATACGGATTAAGTGACCCGGTATCCTACCAGGCCAGGTATGATCGCTGACGTAGACAAGGTACAGAACACTTTTCTTCTGTCCTCCTTCTTGGAATAAGCGAGTGCGAGTTGCGATGAGTGACTTCCCAGAGTCAACTACAAACCTCCAGGAGAGTGCGCGTGTACGTAAACGCCAACGATAGCGATACGAAAGGGGGTTTATCTAGTCAGACTTTATTATTATAAAAATAGTCAGGAACGAACCTGAGCGCACTTAGCGAGCTAAGACCACCAAAAAATGTTCAAAAAAAAAAAAAAAAGAAAGGTGGTTAAAAAGTTGCATTGGCCGGGACTCGCACCCGGGTTTCTTCCATCCCTATCTAAGCCGCAAGGCCTATATGTGAGAGAAGCGAGTTAATTCCTACTCCACCAATGCTGTGGTTTTTGTTGTTGTAATTTCCTTCCTATATTGTGAATTATATACTTATGCCCTGCCTGCGTCCTCTGATCTGGTGAAATTCTGTTGAGGATGGCACGTGATAAACTCTTTGATTTCCTTCTCCTTGAATATTTGGTCCGATACGATGCCCACGGTCACTGAGCAGAATCGCAACCTCCAAGACAAAAGACAGAAACCCAGAATCTACTTAATGAAATTATTATTACTAGAACGAAGATAGATTCGTCAAGGCTCGGTCGAGCAAAGAAAAGAGCAAAAGAAAAGGGGGGAAAGGGGGTACAAAAGATCTCGCCATCCAGGACTGGAGGGCGAGCAGCTATAGTCAAAGAGGTTGATGGCAATCCAACCAGAGCTTCTTTACTCACACATACACGCGCAAGTCTGCCGTGGAGTGCACATATGCTGTTATGATCTCAAGATTTGGCAAATGGTGCTCAGAGCTCATGTGTGGGCTACGCCCTCTATTCCGTAGCTATTAGGTAGGTATCAACGGGGGTTGCTCTCGTGAATAAAGGCAAACTGATCAGTAAGAGCATCGTGTAATTGTCCACACGTCTAGTCAACTGTC